AGGTGGGCTGTATTTTTGCGTGTATGTACTTTCTCGTGTGTGTGTGGGTGTGTGTGTGTTTGTGTGTTTGTGTGTGTGTGTGTGTGTGTGTGTGTGTGTGTGTGTGTGTGTAGAAGCAATAGAGGTCTACTCAACATTTCAAATGTTTAAATTTGATCAGAAATATCAACTGAATAATTTTATTTCTAAAAACTCATTCAAATAGCTTATTTATTGTGGATTTATTTTTTTTAAAGTAAGTGTTTTACGGCACTTGCAACACAATACGCTCATGTAAGTGCCAGAGATTAGAGGTGTTACAAGAGAGTAACTAACACAAAAAAGAAGGAGGGGAGATAAAGACGATAGACGTTTGATAGGAAAGAAGAAGCAAACCACATCAGAGCACCCGCCAACCACCCACGGATTCATTCTCGTTCTATCTCTATCGTTTGTTAAAAGTTCCAAATACACATCAGAGTACTGTTCTAAACACGTTTCTCGTTAACCAGTTTATTCAATACAAAGTACAACTGTACGTTCTTGACTTTTAGTGTAAGGTCTCATTAACGTCTTTAAAAACTGACCCAAGCAAAGATAATAATAATTTTTAAAAAAGCTAAACTCACCCAGGCCTTTTTTTTTTTCAATTTCGAATCAAATTTATTTGTTCAGATCTTCCGCCCTCTAGCAGACTGTCGCGAGGTAGGCGTTCAGGACATTAACCAGTATCTAGGACCACCATGATATGAGTGAAGCATAATATTATTTGCTTGTGTCAACAGACCCGTCTTGAATTAATTCAGGGCGTATTCTCTTTTTGGGAACTTTGAAGGAAGCAAGTTTCTATACTGAAATCTAACGTCCTTACAATTTCTAAGACTTGCTTTTTTTTTCAGAACCGTCGGCAAGGTGAAAGAAAAGTGCACCCTAGGCCTAGTTAGAGCCTGTTATACAACGTCTCATAGCTGACTTCGAAACCGGTACAAATCAAGTCCTTGCCGAGTGTTAATTGTTACAAGATAGTTGTCAGAAACGAATGTTTGACGGGATGCGAGGCACCTTAAACGGAGGAGGTCTCGGGTGTATGGATCAACCACTGTCTGTTGGGCCATACAGGTATGTTACGCCCCCCCCCCCCCCTCCCTTTTTTGTTTCTTTTTAACCCCTCCGCGAAGAAGCTACAGGCTTACGTATTTATAGAACCAAGGGGCAAGGGGGAGTCGCAGCACTCCGCCCGCGGTGAACTGGGCCAGAAACGGAGGGCGCGCCGGACTATAACCAGCTCTTGCGGCTTTCCCCGCGCTACAGTTTAGCCAAAACTTCACTACTGAGAGCGGACTCTGCTCTCTCGAAAGAAACACCCCGATTGTTTATGACTGTTTCGTGTTGTTCAAAAGTTGTGTTTCCAACTCTGGATTATTTGATGTGCTGTGAAGTTGAAGTTTAGGCCTAAGACTTTTCGGTGTAGCCACAGGTAAGGTCATCACGTTAACTTTCTTCTCTGTAGGCTGGGCCAAACTGTTGAAACTCTGCATCATGCTTTTCATAATAGCAGTCCTCACGCTTAATATTTAGAACAGTTGACAGCGATATAACTGTTGATAACGTTGCTCTGGCGTTACGTAATCTGTTGTCGCTCCTCATACGACTGTTTCAGAGATGGTATTGAGCCGAGGTGGTGCGAATTAGCCTACATTTAGATCTATATTAGTTTTCTGAGCGAGAGGAAGAAAAGAAACACCCCCCCAAAAAAAAAAGACCAAATTCAGCAACTCAGCGTGCTACTTGGTTAGAAACAGATTTTGATATTGATTTGAAATGCAGTTGTTTCAAATACCTTTGTATGAACAAAACAATGACTCCGGTGTGGACACGAAAAACGATGATTAGATAGATCCATAATCTACATAATATAGATCTAGAAGCAGTCGATTGACATTGAGACCCAGGTATCTCTTTGTTGACAGAGACAAGACATCTAGGGTTTCCCAAGCCCTTCCACGTGACTTTAGCTATTCCCATTACATTGTATCGGATTCCAGGACGGCGGATTCTCTATTCCATGTGATTAGCAAAGAATTCTAAGGTTTCGACTTAAATTCGTTCTACTTCTAAAAGAATGTGCTTCGGCAACCATGGCCATCAATGCCCGCCCAAATCGAAACGTTACGCAAACAAGCAACTCAATACTGTCTGCGTATTATAAATTCACATCGGTAAATCTATGGGTGTCTACTACCCTGAAGAATGATAGAGCCAGGAAGTGGGCTGGGATAGAAGCAAAATAGTAATCAAAATAGTTTCAAAATCCAAACTCTATTGTTCATCTCAAAGGAAAACCGCGCCCTGTCTAGATTACCTTTAGTAGGCTAATTTTTTTTCTGGCCAACCGTGCTTCTACACACAAGATACCACCTGCTCTAGCCCGTTCCTCCCTCTCCTTCTTTCTACGTCCCCTCCTTTTCTTCGTTGAAGGTATTTGATCCTTTGTAGACACGCCTGACTTGAATAAATAGTCCCACAGCACGACCGTACAGTGCCAATCTAAGTAGGTACACAGTCAGTATAGTATAGTGTCCGGGAGCATGACACTCAGGCTGTCGAGGTTACGGGTGCTTCGTCCGACAACGAGGCCAAATCCTGTGGATAGAAATTATTCCTTCAGGATTATTTTTGTACACAGCAGATATATGCAGGCTTACAAACTAGATCTATACCTTTCTAACTACAATGACGTTTTATTTGCATTTATCTCTAAAGTTCCTTACAAGTTTAAAATCACTTTTCTGAAGGTGTAAAGTGTCTTATTCTTACTAGATCTACATTAAATGAGAACGATAAGGAGGAAGAAGCCGTGTTAAAAGACCGACCGTATCGTCTCTGGTTGTGCGTTTGGAGATGTTAACAGTATTTCTTATAATAATTCTGGGTTTTGATGTTCCGACGAGCTTCTTCAGACTTCACTCATGCATGAATGTTTCTCGTTTTCGAAACAATCTCTCACAAAGATATTATATATTATTATT